ATGAAAATACAAAAAGTTAATCGAGAGTGACACAATAATGAACCTTGATAGCCATTTTTCCTCGAAGTTAACCACACAAACTTGGTCAACAATGAGTTAACCAGTCAATTTTCCTCGAGGTGTATTCCAAACTATGACGTAATAGTTAACCAACCACACCAACCAGCTCACTGAGGTAGTTCACGGAGTAGTCAAGGATTTTGATTGGTCACTGGATTGGGCTCTTGTTGTTATTATAATCTGAGGTTATGTAATTGATAAGAAAAAATAATTATACTTCTTAAAGAGATAATGATGAAAATAAATATTTAATTCATTGTGCTTTTGGGTGTATGATAAATTGACATTCATCATACAGGGCGTGAATATGTACGTAGCGAATTGTTCCAATTTTCTTGAATTTGAAGTACCATCAGCACCATAGACCTAAATACCTATAGTTCCTATATCTATGATATATTTTTGTTACGAATGATGAATTTCTTAATCAATATACTACTATCACTCAAGGTATTACTACCAAACAATAAACCATAACAGCTGACAAACTGACATCTGTCAAACTTCACAAGTAAACCGTGACATCATAATGAAGTTAACCTGGTTTGTCTGGTTAGGATCAAGAAAAAATTACTAACTGAAAAAAATCGTAACATGCAATCATATACGTAGTACACAACATCCATATCGTGCAGAGAAACCACTTGTTGCTTCAACTAACCCCATTTCAAGAGTGAACTACTAACCGAAAATCTTGTACGTCCAATGTTTTTAGAAACTTTGAATAATGTATCCATACATAACCAGTCAATGACTGAAACTACTAATAATTACGAAAGTCGAACCATGCCTATGGAGCGTACTCTTCGTCGAGAATAAATACAGCCAGAGGCAAGGTTCAGCAAGGTCGCTGACACCATCTCGATGGAGTCAGTACGATGATCGCATCTCGCCTCAAAACAACTTTCTGTATATACAAACATATATATGGGGTGATTCATGAATGGTGATTGGCTGGACCAAAGCGAGTTCATAACGCCTATCGCCTTCGAGTTCCAACTTCTTATAGCTAAAAGCTAATTTTTGTTGTTTCTGTTAACCATACAAAATACTACCAACGTCATCATCATAGTGGTTGTGTTTTCTGTTTAAACAATTTCAAGAATATCGATGAAAAGAGCGAAGATAACATCGCCATTGAGATTTTGCTAGGATTATGCGTCCAGGTACAGTTTGTTGAATGTAAAACGACCAGTAGAAGCCTTATGGCTTAGGTGCTAGTGTAGAAAAGAAAAGCTCTACTCTTACCTACTTTGTATCTGTGTAAGTTTCTGTTCATACAAAAATATATGGGGAGATCCACGAATGGTGGAGTTCCAACTTCTTATAGCTGAAAGCTCTTTTTTGTGGTTTTTGTTAACCATACAATGTACCACCGACGTCATCATCATGGAGGCTGTGTTTTCAGTTACAACAACTTCAAGAATATGGATGAAAAGAGCAACGATAACTCGATAACATCGTAATTGAGGTTTAGGTAAGGATTATGCCTCTAGGTACATTTTGTTGAATGTAAAACGTCCATTGGAAGCCTTATGGCTTAGGTGAAGGGACAAATGAAAAGCTGCCACTTTTTCCTCATGATACAGAACGACTCCTGGATACTAGAGCAGTAGCTTTACTCATACCTTCTTTGTATCTGTGTAAGTTTCCGACCCACGAATGGTGATTGGGTGGACCAAAGCGAGTTCATAACGTGTTAAATAGGGTTTTCAATTTGGGTTTGGGCCTTGTTTCAGGATAGAGAAAGATGAATAAATCGGCCCATGAAAGATTCATGGGCCGATTTATTATAACAATTGGAAAAATATCTGAGGTTACGAGGACAATAGTCAAGCACTACAAAGAAATGTAAGCTAATGATATTATGCAGGGTATCATTACAACATAATTGTAACACGTGTGAAATTATACATAGCAATATGTTCTGACATGCATTGAAATGAGATATATTATACCTATTGTTGTTATAGTTACCTGACCTTTTTCGAATTCACGTCGCCAAGGACAATAGATAAGATGATAACTAAGAAGTTGAACAGAATCAGATATCCTGCAAGATATACCGCCCTAAATACACTGATCATTGACTGGTTGCCTACCTATCAGTCGGAAAATTCGCATAACGCACATTACGAAGTTTCATGACACAATGTTTTATTATAAACTAATAGCTGATTTTCCAACAATTTCAAGAATATCGATGAATGGAGGAACCATAACAGTACTTGGGCAGAAGCTTATATGATCCAGATATCGAAAGGAACGAAAGATCTATTCATACCTACTTATTATCTCTGTTACTGTGTTCCTAACAGAAGTTTATGCGATATTTTATTTTTAAGTTCTGGTTTCCACGAAAAGGGATATTCTGTAATGTTCAGAGAACATCGTGAGAACCAAGGAAAATAAGGTAAGAATTGATGTTCTTCTTGAATTTCTGGAGGTTATATGCCTCGGGGAACACCTCCCTTGGCTCCCAGCCTCGCTGTTCGTTGGATGAACGAGTCTTTGGAAAGAGATGTTCTGCAGGTCTCCAAAGTGACCACGAAGGGGTGCGAAGCTTCAACTCGACGGATTAATCTCGCGGAGACTGTCAAGGGAGGAACAATCGTTGGTATTTCAGAAGAGCATCGTCCATGAAATTATCTATAAAATAGAGCTAGATCGCCAACTTTTCTACGGTGATCCAGAGAAGAGAGTGAGTTTGTGAGCGAGGCTTCACTCACGAGACGAATTGCACTTTTTTCGACAGAATCCAACAGTTTCTGGGTATGTTTGGGTGCTGCACTCCAGGACAGGTCAGATCTGTGCCTTATAGATCATAAGCAGCTGACTGGAAGTGAAATAGATCTTGGCTCAAAACAGAAAACCAAGTTTTTGGGATGCACTTTTCGCGATTGATCTCACGTGATTTTCCTAAGAAAGGTTATTGCTGATAGTAATACCAAGCATCGAAATGGATGTCTTCAAAGGTATGGTTAGTCCTGACATGCTTATGTTTGGCACAGTGAGATCGAATTTTCTAGAGAGAAGGCATGCTAGTGTTTTGTTTGCATTGGAATCTACAAAGTTATTGGATCCCCATTCGAGAATTGTTGCCAAGTCCATATTTATATAGCTTGTAAGTACAATCTCATCGAAAAGTATATAGCTGTAGAGTAGGTTGAAGGTCTCAAAGAAAAGAGAAAAGACAGTTTTCCACTGTCATCTGGGTACCAGGTGGCTGATAAAGCATGGGGACAACTCTTACCACCATTGGACGAGAATCTTGAGGTGATATAGCTTATAAATGATGATGATGCAATTGCTCTACAGACAGTCTCAAGAGTTTCCATCCAAAGTACCAATAATCGTGTACTGCTATCTAAAGAGGCAACTCATTTTTGGAGTCGTGAAGTCCAGAATCACTCGAGGCTGGGGATATGTGAATGTATAAACCGACCAAGTATTGAGGTGATCTTACACTCACATAATTGTTATGGTGTAAATTTTTGTGTTCCATCAATTCATGGAATTCATGGTTTCCTTGGATCGTCCTGTATACGTATACGATTGAATATCTTTGGCGACTGGATGATGTTCATGAAATTACCGCAACGGATCCGGAGATAATTTCGACTGTGGGTTCTTTCACTGTTATTTTGAATAGTGTCCTTGGCAGAGGTATTCGGTTAACACAAGTCATCATCTATTTTTGACATCCTTACACAATTTCTCACTGGATTTTTCATTCTTGATTGTCTGCATTCCACGTATATATTCACACCTTCGACGTGTTTTAACAAATACAAATTATTAATATATTAATTTATAATTATAATAAAAGTTATTCCAAAGGGGTAAATCATGAGCGATAGAGACCTAGCCCTACTTGCCTACTTATACCTTATTGGATGGTCTTGAATCGGTCATCTTCTGAGATTTATCACTTTCTCAAATCGTTCATCGACTCATGGTCAATATATTAAATTGAATGAATAAATAAACGATTATGAATTACTTATTACACGGCGCCAACATTCTTCGGGTGCTTTCCATCCGAGAAGATTCGACTACATAACAGATTTATCTCTAGTATCCAAGGTATTGTGCAAATTATATCCATCATCAGTTCGAATGTATTGGACGAATACCAACATTTTATTGAATTGAATTTAATTTATATAAAAATTTATACTAACCAGTATGCCGCCTTAAATGTACAGGAAAATCACTTATGAACATATAAAGGTACTCTTACACCACCGAGTTTCAAAAAAGAATTATTCAAGCGTTCATTTAGCAATAATATATGCCAAGTGATTAACCTGTTACCAGAAGAAATGACAAATTAGAAACTTTCTGTTTTACCAAAAAAGTTCAGACTCTTTCTATTCGAAAAACAACTATAATTACAGATTTAATAGCCATAAAAAAAAGTTTCAGTAATGTACGTCTGAATTCGAATAAGTCGACGTATGCAAATGTCGGGAAACTGATTAATGGGTCCGAATTCATTGTTTCGCCAAAGGGCATACATTCTTAGATCATCGACTATAACATATGAAAAAATTCCTTCCAGTTCGTATGCCGCCCTTGGGGAGTGACCTAGGCGTATGCAAACCGGAAAGCGCCCCAATTTTCGTGAGATAAGATCATTGCACTTCATTGCTGAGCTTCTTCTTAAACAAAATTTTGAACTTTTCTCCAACCGAAAGGTGAGGTCAGGGCCGGGACAAGGACTGGGTTGCGACTCTCCGAGGCACTCCTTCCTGTTAACTTGGACTAAGTGAGTGGGTCCCTTAAATGGCATACCGACTTAGAACATCGATAAACCCTGTGTCGCGGGCCAACAGTCTATTAGGCTCACAAAATATATTAAAAATGTGCAGCTTTTCGACAATTGCAGGAAAATGAAGTTATCTAATAAGGTAGTAGAAAAAATGACTTTCAATTACCTGTGCACGCCTATTATTGTAGGTGAGAGTGATAGTCGCATTCCCCGTCTGCTGCTGCTCCTCAATCTTCACCACAGTACTCTCCGCCAACCGCAACTCGGGACTCCTCTCCGCAGACATGATGAAGTCTTCCGTGCGCATATCCTCTATCCTCCTCAACTCTCCGTTGTGCAGCTTGATCAGCGAGCCCTTGGCGAAGCTGCCGGGCAGCGTGTTGTTGTTCAGCGGCTTCTTGGGCGACCTGGGCGGAGACAGCGCCGCGTGCAGCCTTTTCCGGCCCTCGGGCGGTTTTTGGAGGTCTAGAGGGCCGATCCTCAGCTGGTCCTCCGGCCTGGTGAGGATGCGGTGCTTCAAGGAGCCCTTGAAACGTTTAGATTAGTTTTTTACTAGAGAAGTTATGGGATAGTTTTGGTTTCTTTCGTTCTGGGGTTGGTTAACGAAATTTTATTACGCAATGTTGGAAAAGAATCGAATTACTAAGGCTGTGTCAAGTCTGTGGTTTGACCGGGCACATACGTTCAGTATGAAGTCTGACCAACCAGCTGTTTGGGAATATCGGTCACGTTTTAAACCTGCCCACAGAGTTACCACATTAACTTCTGGATGGGAGTCAAGTCAGCCATTGACCATTCTGGTATCACCACTGTGGTCAGATGGATGACTTGACACAGCCTAACTCGGGTTGACCCGAGTTGCGCTCAGCTCGAGTAAACTAGAGTTGATTCTTACCAACTCGAGGTCAAGCTGGCGGTACCTAATAACACAGCTCGATCCAAGGGATGTCCTATGGTCATACTTCTCTGGACATCTCGGACATCCATAGAATATCCAGTTTGTGTACACTGGATGGCATATTATGGAAATCAATAGGATCATCGCGTTTCCAACTTTGTAGCTGTCCATTTGGTCATGGACATCCAAATGATAAAAAAATGCAAAATTTTGAACAAGCAGCTATGAACCTTCAGCGCGCAGAATTGCAGGATTACTTCAATAGATGGAAGATAAAATTGAATCCTGAAAACACAACTCAATTGGTTGCACTCGGAAGGAAGCGGAATAAACCTGGAGGTAATGAGTTAGTATGGTCTTCACAAGTTGAATACTTAGGTGTGTACAAATAATTATAATTTCTCGAAAATATATTCAGATCATTTAAAAGTCAGAAAATCTTTTCAGCATGAGCAAATCAAATATAAAGATAGGTATACCTTATGACCCCGAGCATGAGTAGGTACAATTCATATACTTATGTGGACATTTTGTATTCGTTTATTTGACACCATTTTTTATCCAAATCTTTACTTTGATCATTAGGCGTAATACTTAATTCCTTAATAAATTCATTTGAAATATCTGCTAGAAATGAATCAGTATTTCATTCGCCTACACGGCCGTTTACCATGATTTGCAATCGACATTTTTTATTGAATTCAAGTCCGCTGCCTACATCATCGAGGCCACGCCCCCCGCCGAGAGAACGGCTCGAATGAACTATCCTTCCTTCTGTGTTGACTGTCTTACCTCCTTGCCGGACGGAATCTTGAACGCTGCCGAAGTGGGCGGAGCTTGAACGTGGTGGGGGGAGGTCTTCTTCTCGCGCAGCAAACTCTGGCCGCATTTCAACCCGGACGGCGGACTGAAAGTGCTGGGAGGCGAGAGGAACGTGCTGGAAGTAGTCGTGGGGGAAAACGGCTCCATGGGCGATAGGGGAGTGGTGGGGAAGCAGCCCCTCATCATGTAGGGGGGATAGGCGAAGTGGGGGAACTGGTGCGCCGGAGGGAATAGTCTGTAGGGGCTGAAGCTTGTCATGTCTTCGGTGATTTCCTCCTTGGTCTGGGTGAGGTTGACTGGGGTGGTGATTGATGGCGGTGAGGGGTATTTGCCGGTGGTTCGAGGGGGTTGCGCCAGGCGGGTACCGTTGGGGTATGTGGTGGTGTTAACGCCATTATTGTATCTGCTGCAATGTAGAAAGAGTGTTGGTACGTCTGACGGTTTTGTATCGAAGTATCTAAATATAAGAATAGGGTGTTAGGTTCAGGTCCATTCAGTGTATGACCCAGACAAACGGAGGATTGCAAAAAATTCAGTAGTCGGTTTTATTATCGTACTTTATGTTTTTTGGGACGCTGAGTCCTAATCTGGAGTTATCCAAGAAAATTTCTTAGTGCGTATTGAGATAGTGGAGAAAAACAGCGAAATATTTGCACTCTTTTTTGCTTATGATTTTGAAAAGTTCAAGTAGCACTGTCGATTTAACAGTACCCGAGATACAGCACTCAAAAAATAAAATAAAAAAATCCAGAAAGGGATATTTCAACTTTTGGGTCAGCTTTTGAGTTGAATAATGAGAAAAATACTGATCCTAAGAGGAAAAGTGTCAGAATTGAGTTATAGCGAATCCTTTTAGCCTCAATTTAAACTCAAAGCGATGCAAGTATACAGGTTGTTTCAAAATTCAGTATCAACATTTCAGATGCCCATTTTTCAGGTCAAAATGGGACCTTCTTTTTTATAAACATGTATCCGCAAAAGATTCGTTACCGATAAAAAGATCGTTGAAGTTCAAGGACTTCCTTATTTTCTTATAACTCTGTTTTCAAGATATTCAGATCAAATTTGAAACACAGCTTATGTTCTAGGGTTGACATAACACATTATGCCGAGTGATTGTAAAAATCTACAATAAGAGAATATGATTACTGTGAAACAATTACACCTGTAATGAAGCCTTCAAATTTGAGCATCTCACACTGATTTTGGAATTTTTGTCTCTGCAAACAATCCAGACCAGGACTTTCTGGGATGCAGAGCCCTTCGATACCAAAGCGCGTCCGAACAAGAACTTTTTGAGTTTTCTCCACATAATTTGGCTAATAAACATTGATATTTATAATCAAAATATTACACATGAAGAAGTATAGAACTGCGAAGTTTTTAAGATATTATGGAAAGGGTTCTGATTGTTTTTTTTTTGCAAATTATTAGGAAATCATTCAATTCATTCAAGTCACTCTAAGGTTGAATCAAAGCTAAAAAGATTTGGCTACAACTTTACATCTAACAATTTTCGTCGTAGGAACAGTAACCTTCTCAATATTTAGTTTTAGAGTTGACCCACGAAAGTTCTTGGAAGAATTGACCCAATTTTTTATTACGGGTACTATTAGACCTACAGAGTGCTGCATTTGCACTCAAATCATGGCGTATTCCGTCTTCCATGAAAAATGTAGTATTTTTTTTTCGCTGCCAAAGAATGTGTCTTTTTAAAATCATAAGTAAAATGCCAGAGAATGTGCACCAGGACATTTCGTGAATTATTTCAGTTTTGGGTTCAGCTCAGCATCAGATTTGGGTTCAAGAAACCGACTACTGGATTTTTTACAACTTGAAACTACCATTTGCCTGAATTAGTGATGATTGCCAAGAAATGAAGAACTTACTTAGTCGTAGGTGGTAGGGGCTTTGGAGCGGGCCTGAGAAACAGCTCGGGAGGCTGTTTCGGGGGTCCCCTCCAAGGCTCTGGGTAGGTCATATAGGGCAGTCTTCCCTCCACGCCGGCTGAAATCATCGACTCAGTGCCTCAACTACCTCAGTCTGCAAAAAAAGAGAAGGAATAATCAGGGGCATTCGTAGGAATAATCTCAGGGGGGAAGCAAGACACGATAATGATGTACAATGTTCAGTACATATAAAGAAACAGTTTTCCCACAACCTATAAGAAATGTTACATCTCCAAAAGCGGAAGTACTGGGCACAGAGTACTCCGAAGGCTAAAAATGTTAAAAATTTTCCATGATTTTGGTGGCAATAAATCTACCACTATGTTTGCAGCAGCTTCTTCAATGTTTTTTTCAGACATTTTTAAAATATTGATTGAAAACTCAGAAAAGCAGTTTAGAATGCTAGCACACTTTTTCGATGTTCACAAAAACAATATGACTACTCTTAATTATCGGTCCTCCTGATGATCAAACTGAATTTTGTGATATTTATGTCCAGATTTTTATTTTCGTGAATTAGAAATGTCATAGGCGAGGGGTAAATCACGAGCTGAAATTGGGTACACTAGACTTCCTTCATTGAAAGAATTCCCGGAATTCCTGGGACTACCCAAGGAATTCCTAGGAATTCCCAAAGACTACCTGGAATTCCTGGGACTACCTAAAGACTACCCGGAATTCCTGGGACTTCCCAAAGAATTCCTAGGAATTCCCAAAGACTACCCGGAATTCCTGGGACTACCTAAAGACTACCCGGAATTCCTAGGAATTCCCAAAGACTACCTGGAATTCCTGGGACTACCTGAGGAATTCCCAGAGACTACCCGGACTTCCCAAGGAATTCCGGGATTTCCTAAAGATTTATCATACCTCCCAAGGAGTTTTCAAATTTTTGCGTAAAAATAGGTAGATCACGAATGAGTTCCATTCGTGAAATGCAAAAAAAGTCAATCGATAGGTAGGTTGAATTCAAACCCAATAAGGACGAAACTAACAACAATGAAAAAACATGTAGGGATTAGTGATAAGTACTCGGATGAGTATCATTACCACTACTGGGTGTTTCTGAATTCAAGTGACAGAAGCCTATACAGGTTACTTCCTATTTAAATAAAAAATTAGTAGGTATACCATTTACAGATTTCCCAAAAAAAGTTCCTGTTCACATTGAAAAAAAATCTGGTTTTTCATCTCAATGTTATGAACGAAATTATTTTGCCGATTTGAATGATAATTATTTTAACAGCTCATTGAAGTCTTCTTGAGATATCGTTCAGACCTCTTTAATTTGCCCAGTTATTCCAGAATTGTGTTTACGCCAAGTGTTTCACTTTTGTTCACGAAGAATACCATTAGTCGATTTTCCCAATTCATTTCAGATGAAACAGTTGAAAATACAGTGAAACCAAGATGAGGTAATATAGGGATCTCGGGAACAGGAAAAGAAACGGATTCGGTTAAATGGGAAACAATTTGCGCATTTTGATGATCATACCAACGGCTTTGGAAAATTTTCAAAATTGTTTTTAGTTTTTCAGTTATACAGGGTGTTCCTTAAGTACGTGTAGAAAATTCAGGAACATGTTGCTGACGTCATAATAAGAAGACAAGTTCGAATAAATATATGTCCGAAAGTTATTCGTTTCTGAGATACAGAGTGTCAAAGTTGAATTCTTATTTTTGTTTTTTGTTAATAAATTCCAAAATAATTGTGATAATCAAGTGAAGTTAGGTATCTAGGGGTATTTTTCAATGACAATATCAAATTTTCTGTTAGTTTGTCTCTTTCGTGGGGGTGGCGCCACCTACATGTCTTTTGAATTTTTGAAGTCATAACTTTTCTGTTCGTACCTGTATCACGTTCTATAGTAGGAAAATAGATTTCTAGGACACTTTTGTGTGAAAAGTATATTCTTGGTAGAGGTCGATGCGAGCAACTGTTTTCGAGTTATTTGGGATTTGAAACAATCGATGCATTTGAATTATTTCCGAGATTATTTCCATTGGGCTCGTGAGTCGACTCTAAGCAGTTAGAAAAGATACGTCAGTGCATTTTTCTTCTTTCATTCAATATTCTCCTCCATTCAACAATTCAACATTGGAATGTAGGCAAATGATGATTCTTTGTATCTACTTTTTTGGCCATTTTGAACAATTACTTTAATCAATTCCCTCAACTAACTGTTCTAGTATTAATTTGGTCATAATTACAGTTATTATTAGTAGTATTGTATTATAATTACACCCGATTCCTATTTTAAAATGGAATTAAAAAAAATAATTCTCCTTATTATCTACTTGATGTACTTGATATGATAAATCAATTCTGAATTCCTACTTCTTCGTCATTCCAAATTACTTGCATTGATTATTTCAAATCCCAATAACTCGAAAACAGTTGCTCGCAGCGACCTTTACCAAGAATACATTTTTTACACGAACTTGTTCTAGAAAACTATTTTTCTACTATAGAACGTGATACAGGTACGCACAAAAAAGTTGTGACTTTTCAAAAGACTCAAAAGATATGTAGGTGCCGCCCCACTCACGAAACATAAAATTTGATATTGTCATCGAAAAATACTCCGAAATACCAAAATTCATTTGAATATCACAATTATTTTGAAATTTATTAACAAAAAACAAAAATAAGAATTCAACTTTGACACTCTGTATCTCAGAAACGAATAACTTCCGAACATATATTCATACAAACTTTTCTTCTTATTTTGACGTCAGCAACATGCTCCTGGATTTTCTATACGTACTTAAGAAACACCCACTATAAAGAAAGTGAATTTTTGGAATATCTTTTTGTTTTTCTACGTTATTATGAGAGATATACAAAACTCTAAAAATACTTTTACATGGCATCTTTTGATGAGATTCAACGTGGTGATATTGATTTCTCCTCGGATTTCTCCAAGCGACGTTTCGTATTCGTAGAGAAATCAACAACTTTTTTTTCAAATACGGCCCTGATGATTATCTGTTCACAGATTTCGAAAACTTTTTTTATCTGAGTTCAACCATGGGGAATTATAAACAATTTTGTAAATTTTCGAAATCCATTGGTATGACCCTTGGAATGCGCAATTTTTTTCTCATTTAACCGAATTCGTATCTCTTACCGTTTCCGAGATCCCTCGCGAGACCCTCATGCTGCGCAACCATATCATGGTCACACTGTTCAACTTTTTTGAAAGCGGCAAAGATTTGTTATATTCAAAATGAAAGTAACAGGAAAAATTCGAGAGATCAGACGACTAAGTTTATGTAAAAAAACAATAAGAAGAGTTGAAATAATTTACTAGGTATTTGAAATGAACATTCTCAGATATATTTAAAGAAATACATTGAGAATTCGCATTCTCCATGTGATGAAAATATCAATACAGAATTTCCTTCCACGTCCTGTATGATGAATGTCAATTCATCATACATTCAAAAAACTACTAGGTAGTATTTCTCGTGCACAAAACGTCAACCTTCTGTATCTAGGAATCGGTAATAAGATGTCAATCAATGAAAATGATCGATCTATCATTGTACAAAAATATAAGGAAATGAAGCGAAGGTTGAAATAAAGTAAATGATGATATTTCTCCTGTATTCATCTATGAATAGAAGAATATTGTATTTTTTTAGCTTTTGTGCAAAAAAACTTCAAAATGTTTCTCGAGATGTTTCTCTATGCCACATGTCTGTAGCAATAAAAGTTTTGGCCCCTATATCAAGATTGTTTATGAAACTAACTCTACAGTTTATAGATCGTCTCATAGTAAGTCGCTAAATTTCATACTTATATTTCTGTGAACTCGTTTGTCCGAATTGCAAAGATATACAGGCTGTCCCTAATATGTATTCACAAAAGAATACTTAATATTTCCCATCAGACCAAAACAATACGAAATATACAAGCAAACTTACTTCAGTACAAAGTTGCTTAGTTTGAGCCCCGGTTAGAGCGCTAGACAAGTAGACAACATGTTTTAAATTACTAGAATTACGAATTTTTTCGAAATCATGACTATGTCGACGTAGGTACAAATTTCTCCAGAGCCGTTTAGCGCCCAAACTGAGCAATTTTATACTTAGGTAGGAAAATTTTATATAATTCAATTGTTGTGGTCTGAGGAATATGTGGTATTTTTCGTATAGACCTTTTAGGCACACCCTGTATGGTATTTCGAAGTGTTCAATGAAATTGATGAACATTTACATTTTGTGTCGGCCCCATATTGGATTTCAAATATAGTGTCATATGGTTTTTGTATTCTACTTGTCATTCTCTCCTATTTGGTACCCATGTCGAGGGAATTGTAAACGAATTCATTAGTTATTCCCTTACAAGTGCGAAAAGTAGTACTTTACCGCACGCGACGGCTGTTGCACGAACGACGCGGGGCGGAGTTCGGGCAAGCCGTCAATTGTGGAAAAGACATTTGCCGCAAGAAGAGTAAGGTATAATGTTTTTTCACGAGTGTTTTTGTCCATATTATTATCATTCGAGAAAAAAAAAGGTTTTTAATCAACAAGATTTTATAACAATGCTACAAAATGACACATAAGACAAAATAGTTACATAGATACTGGACATAATTGTGCTATCGGAAACGAGAATTATTGACTCGGTAAGTAATTTTTCAATACCAAACTACACTCAATACCACAACGATTCTAGTATTAATAAATGCGATGGGGTCATGATATATATCAAAAACAATATATCAGCCGACGTAACAATAATTCCAATTAATGATAGTCGTTTTCTAAGAGCTACATTCACCACGAACCATCTTTTGAAAAATAATAAAATAGGATTGACAGCTTATTACAGATCACCCGCAACAAACAGTTCAGATTACATAGAAGACTTGGAAAATTATTTATCTACATTGAACAAACATAATATAGAAATCTACCTGGGGGACATAAACATAAATTTATTGAACGTCCATAATAATGAAACTAACAACTATTTAAACATCCTTGGTTTGCATGATTTCATTTCCTATATAAACAAACCAACCAGGATGACAAAAAATACAAGATCTGCTATAGATCA